TACCACTCAAGTTGTATGTATTTACATATCTACACCTATACTTCAAGTTTTACTTACATAATGTCTTATCCGTGCACGATAAGACTGTAATATTTCTCTGTCTATGTAAGAAAAAAGTAAAATTTTAATGTTAGAAATGTAAATACATTGGCTGTAATTGGGTGGTGTTTATGTAAATAGCGATAAAATTGTATTAAAAATGTAATATATTTGTGTAAAATACACTGGTTCCAGGCTCTTCTTGCTGGATGTTCTGCTGGAGGGCTGGCTTCCATACTTCACTGTGATGAATTTAGAGAACTGTTCCCAGAAGAAATTATAGTTAAATGCCTCGCTGATGCTGGCATGTTCCTTGATGTGTAAGCTTTATTCTTATTATTACTGTCAATATTCATTATTCATTGTAAATAATTATTAGAGTGAGATTTATTCATAAAAATAGCTAATTCAAATAATAAATATCATTTTTTTTAATCCATTTCCTTCATTTTGTGCTTTAATTTTGTTAATCAGAGTTGATGTGGCGGGGGGGCGCAGCATTAGAAACTTCTTCAATGGTGTGGTTACTTTGCAGGTATGAGTTGTGTATACTCATAAAAAAATAATAAATTATTCGAAAAGATATATATATATATATAATGAAATTCAAATATAAAAATCCCAATTATGTATTTGGCCTGAACTTATTCATTTGTCGTAATTGTTACCATTGGCAGGGAGTGTCAAAAAACCTACCAGAATACTGCACATCAACAATGGATCCAACTTCGGTGAGTACCTCATTGCCCTGACTCCTTTCAAATAGGGCTGTCAAAAAAACTCGTTGTTTGCGAACAGCTCGTGTTCGGCAAGTTAAGTAGCTCGTGTTCGGCTTGTTCGTTAAGTAAATGAGCCGAACACGAACAAGTTTTCAAAGCTCAAATTATAAACGAGCTGAACACAAACAGTTCTTTATTCGCTCGTGTTCGGCTCGTTTTAGCTCGAAATAAAAATATATATATATATAATTATTTATATAATAATTTATTATATATATTTACATCTAAAATTAAAAGTTAACTGCTCGTTTGGTAATGTGGTTATGTGTCTCCTTATGCATTCATTTGGTTCAGGTTCTAATCCAGCAGTTTACATTTATTTTTTAAGTTTGATCTTAACGAGTCAATTTCAACACAAATATTTAAATCAAGCTGAACACGAACACAATGTTTGAACCGGTTTCGAGCACCATCCGATTTCAAACACGAACAATTTCGAACAAGCTGAACACGAGCCAAGACTGAGCTCGCTCAATCTCGGCTCGTTTACCTCTCTAATTTCAATTTATCAACCAAAATAAACAAATAATTAAATAAATATAAAAATTAAAGTGATACTTACAAACACACCACCCAACTCCTATGTATTTACGTATCTAACACTTAAATTTTACTTTTTTTTTACTTATTAACACATTTATTGTGTTCTTCTGCTTGCAGTGCTTCTTTCCCGAGAACCTGGTGGCAAATATTAAAACCCCACTTTTTCTTTTAAATGCAGCATATGATGTATGGCAGGTATGCACATATTCTGCACATAAATATATTAAATTTTAGCAATAGCTATAAAAATCAATTTATTTAATTACCATCTTATTTAAAGATTTTGTCTTTTTATTTTAATCTTTTAAATCCTCAGCTGTATGAAAGTTTGGCTCCTCCCAGAGCTGATCCCGAAGGCTACTGGACTGCATGCAAAGCAAATTACAACAATTGCAATTCCAGTCAACTTCAGGTCCTGCAAGGTAAATTTTTTATGTATTATTAATTTTAATAAGTATTAATAAAAAATAGTCGTGTATCAGTTATTTTTGTTAATAAATTAATAAATATGAAGTGTAAAATAAATTTTAATGCTCTAAAAATTGATAATTTGCAGATTTTAGACAGAGGATGGTTGATTCTGTAAAAGAATTTCAATTGCTTCAGAAGAATGGGGTTTTTATTAATTCCTGCTTCGCTCACTGTCAAACAGAGAGGCAGGATACTTGGCATGGACCTGCTTCTCCAGCCATTTCCAATAAGGTATATTTCTCCATATTTCATATTATATTTTTTTTCACAAGAAATACAAAAAACTAAAATTCAGGTGGGGTTAGATATGTAAATATATAAGAATTGAATGGTATATATGCAAATGTTGCGATGTGCTTAAGATTGTGGCGAAATAAATGCTCTGTGGTAATATGTGTGAATTAATCGTATGGGGTTGTTGAAAAAGCAGGGGATTGCCAAATCTGTAGGCGATTGGTACTTCGAGAGAGCAGTGGTGAAGGAAATTGACTGTCCCTACCCGTGCGACCCAACCTGCCACAACCTTGTTTTTAATGCAAGTAGTATATTTTTGTGATTTTTTTTTCTTTTATTTATTTTCCGCATATAAATTCCTCTCATCTGAGCTCTACTCATGTATGCACATGTATTTCTAATCAAGAAATCATATGAAAATAATTTATTTAATTTCAATATTCTATGTTCAGTTATGCATTTTAGAATTCTCATGAATATAAACATCTAAAAGATTTACTTTTTGCATTTATATCATCCCAAATCTTTCAAATCAGATCCAAAACACCATTGTTTTAACCTATAAAAAGTGTGTTGTGATATATATGAAATTTAAAACGATCGACGACGAAGCGAATAAAATAGCACGAGAAAATTCACACCAAAAGAACACACAGATTTACGTAGTTCGACAAATTGCCTACATCCACGGAATTGCAGAGGATTTTACTAATTGAGGAATTTACACCAGTCGATCACCTCGATTTACAAGAGGAATCTCTCACTCTTTGTTGCTCTCTTTGTTCTTCTCTCTCTACACCGAGATACACCGAATAAGAAACACGTACAAGAGAAATAAACTTAATTTCTATTCTGTCACAAGCCACCACGAAGAAGTCTAGAGAGAGCAATCTTTTTCTTTATTCTTCCTTCTGCCGCAAGAAACTACTTGCACTTCTCCTCCTCTGCTCCGAGTAAACTTTTCCCTATCCCGAAGAACACCGCTACTTCGTATCCACAATATCCCAAGGAGAGCGCCTCTTCTTTTATCACGAAG